GGCCATATAGCCCGAAAAACTTACAACAACTCAGTGATTCCAGCCATGAAAGCCTTCGACAATACATCAAACACCTTTCCTGTTTATTCCTCTAAGAAAAGAATAGCTTCAGGTATAATCCAAGCTCCCCTCCAGTATATGATAAGGTGGTCTAAGAAGTCTAAGTCTGGAAAATTACTCCAAAGTCTTCAGGAGCCCGGCTTCCAACAGAGCAAATGCCAGTTGCGGTGAGCAATAGCCATGTGATTCCGGAGGGGTGTTGCTAAACATGCTAGAATTACACGAGGAGGAAGTGCCAAAGCAAAGCATAAACAAAACACGATCCTGCTTCAGGAAGGAAGCACCTATGGGTGGATAAGGAGCCATTCGACAAGTATTGCACCGTGAAAATTATGTAATTCTGGGTAGTACCACTTCGAAACGCCTATAGGTATGAAGACTGTTTTTTTTAATACTCCCAACAACATTTTTAAACAACGTGCATGTAGTTAAGTCAGGCTATCAAAGAGACAGCTATGCTAAAACTCTTCCTGAGGTGCTAAAGTGTTAGCATGCAGATGGTCTTTTCAACAGGGAAGGACAAAAGTGGTTCCCCTTCTGAAGTAGTGCATTTCCTGTGTGCTACTTTCTCAACCTGCCACTTCATTCTGTGCAGTCTGTAAAGTGGTTTGTCATGTCATAGAATCATAGAATCAAAGAGTTGGAAGAGACCTCATGGGCCATCCAGTCCAACCCCCTGCCAAGAAGCAGGAATATTGCATTCAAATCACCCCTGACAGATGGCCATCCAGCCTCTGTTTAAAAGCTTCCAAAGAAGGAGCCTCCACCACACTCCGGGGCAGAGAGTTCCACTGCTGAACGGCTCTCACAGTCAGGAAGTTCTTCCTAATGTTCAGATGGAATCTCCTCTCTTGTAGTTTGAAGCCATTGTTCCACGTCCATGTTGCCCTTTCCATGATGGTTCAGGTTGAGCCATAGAATTCCAAAATCCAATATACTCCAAAATTTAAAAAATGTCCTCATGGATGGCTACGATCATCTTTGCTTTCTGATAGTTTAGGATACGCAAACTTTGTTTCAAGTGCAAAATCATATATTTTTAAAATTCTATATATAATACTACCTTCAGCCTATGTTTATAACAAGAACGAATTTTGTGTTGAGATATGTGTCTATCTGGATGAGGAGGAACAATCTGAAGATCAATCCCGACAAGACAGAGGTCCTCCTGGTCAATCGTAAACCTGATCGGGGTATAGGGTGGCAACCTATGTTGGACGGGGTTACACTCCCCCTGAAGCCACAGGTCCGCAGTTTGGGAGTCCTCTTGGATGCATCGCTTACGCTTGAGGCTCAGGCGTCGGCGGTGTCCGGGAGGGCTTTTGCACAATTGAGACTCGTGCACCAACTGCGACCATACCTCGCAAAGGCTGATCTGGCCAGGGTGGTCCATGCCTTGGTCACCTCTAGATTGGACTACTGTAATGCGCTCTACGTGGGGCTGCCCTTGAAAACGGCTCGGAAATTCCAACTGGTCCAACGGGCAGCGGCCAGGATGTTAACTGGTGCTCCTTACAGAGAGAGGTCAACCCTTCTGTTCAAGGAGCTCCACTGGCTGCCGTTTATTTTCCGAGCCCAATTTAAGGTGCAGGTGCTTACCTACAAAGCCCTAAACGGTTTGGGACCATCCTACCTGCGTGACCGCATCTCCGTTTATGAACCCACGCGCTCACTTCGTTCATCCGGAGAGGCCCTGCTTGTGATTCCACCTGTGTCACAGGCGCGTTTGGTGGGGACGCGAGACAGGGCCTTTTCTGTGGTGGCCCCCCGACTCTGGAACACCCTCCCCAAAGATCTTAGACAGGCCCCTACATTGGCAGTCTTTAGAAAGAACTTGAAGACTTGGCTGTTCCGATGTGCCTTTCCAGAATAGGAATCTCCAACAACAAGTCCCAGAAGCACTTTATTAGAACTAAGATTGCTGCACACTGCACACTGCACTTACCCTATAATCCTTACATATCACCTGTCACATCAGCACTTTTAATCCTGTACCCATTACTCTGGCCCGGCCCAGTTTTATTGTGTCTTGTGTATTGTTTATTGCTTGTTGTTTAATATTGCTTTAACTGTTTTTAATTTGCTTTAGGTTGTGTATTGTTATGTTGTGTTTTGAGGCCTTGGCCTTTGTAAGCCGCATCAAGTCCTTCGGGAGATGCTAGCGGGGTACAAATAAAGTTAATAATAATAATAATAATAATAATAATAACAATAATACTCTGGCATCCGCTAAAATGGATTACAAAAAGTTTGCAGGCAAAAAAAGGGCTGTGCAACCCGAGTACAGGGTGGGAGACTTGGTATACCTGTCAACAAAATATTTGAAATCCACACAGCCCACCCGAAAGTTAGCCCCTCATTTTGTTGGTCTGGTTCCTATCGCTGGAATTATAACCCTGGTGGCCATTTGCTTGGATATACCACATACTTGGCGAAAGGTCCATCTGGTTTTTCATGTTAGTCCGATCAAATGGGTTTGGGTGAATTCCCACTGGAGTAAAGCTGACTCCAAATCTATCCCCATCATGGTGGGAGCTCATAACCATTTTGAAATTAAGACTATTTTAGACTCTAGAACAGGTATGGACAAACCCAGGTCCGGGATGTGGCTCTTAATGAGACGTTGTATTATCACGGGGTGTCTGCGCCCTACACCACTGGAGAAATTACACTGTTTAGCCGGTATTGCACCACCTGACATCCACCGGGAAGTAGCAGCCAATAGTGAAAGGACCAAGGCAGTGACATCTCCAGCTCATCCTCTGTTTGGGTATCAGCCAGCACGTCAATGACTTAAATCATAATAGTTTTCTAAGATCTACAGAGACACTCACTGGAACACCTCAGCATGCAAGAGTCCAAAAGTGGCAGGCTCAAACCCACAACCGCAATCAATGGCTGATACCAAATGACAGACTCCTTCCTGGGCACACGGACTTGGAAGGCGCTGAACAGACTGCGCGCTGGCACCACAAGATGCAGAGCCAACCTTAAGAAATGAGGCCACGAAGTGGAGTCCATGACATGCGAGTGTGGAGAAGAACATACCACAGATCACCTATTACAATGCAGTGTGAGTCCTGCCACATGCACAATGGAGGATCTTCTTGCAGCAACACCAGAGGCACTCCAAGTGGTCAGCTACTGGTCAAAGGACATTTCATAAAAAGCCAAGCTTTCAAACTTGGTGTTTTTTTTCCTTTTTTCCCCCCTTTTTAATACAATGCAACTGTTTGGTTCGCTCCTGATACGATAAATAAATAAGCTGGGAGCAGAGAAGGTAGAGAGGGAACATGAGAACCAAAGGGTGTCCCATTGAGGAGGAGGGGGCGGCTGACTTTCTGCTGCTCTAGAGACCAGTGCACAAGGGAGCAATGGTTTCAAATGACAGGGAAAGATATTTGACTGAAAAGATTAGGAAGAAATTCCTGAGAGTAAGAGCTGTTGGAGAGTGAGATAGGCTGCCTGGGAGTGTGGTGGAGTCTCCTTCTCTGGAGGCTTTTCCACAGAGGCTGTCTGTTGAGAGTGCTTTGATTGTGCCTCGTTGCATGGCAGGGGGTTGGACTGGATGGCCCTTGGGTTTCTCTTCCAGCTCTAGGATTTGAAGAATCTATATCAGGAGTACGCAGCACGGGACTCATGGATACACTTTTTCTCTCCCGTCCATCATCTCATCCTGACCAAGGCTAACCCTTTTGGGATCCAAACATTCCCTGTCTTTACTTCACTTTCAGCCTCCAAAAGAGAAGAGGAAGAGGAGGAAAGGGCAGGGAGGGGGCTTGGGGAGAAACCCCTCCCTCCTGACACACCTACCCTGCTCCAGCCCACCATACGGCCCTCGAGTTAGAAAGTTTGCCCATGCTTGCTCTAGATCAGGGGTCCTCGAACTTTTTAAACAGAGGGCCAGGTCACAGTCCCTCAAACTGTTGGAGGGCCAGATTATAATTTCAAAAAAAATGAATGAATTCCTATGCACACCACACATATCTCATTTGTAATGCAAAAAACACTTGAAACAATCCTGCTGCAGTTTTGGAGGAGGGTTGACCATGGATGATGGGACTTGCAGTACCTTTACTCACTTACTGAAACCACTGCGACCCTGAACCAATGACTGATCAAGATCAAACTTAGCACACAGGGCCCCCATGATCCACTCTACATCCTGCTGCAGTTTGAAGGAGGATGGATTTTGGATGATGGGACTTGCAGTATTATCAATCACTTACTGAATCCACTGCCACCCTCATCCAATGACTAATAAAGACCAAACTTGGCACACAGAGCCCCCATGACCCACTCTATATCCTGCTGCTTTTTGGAGGAGGGTGGACCATGGATGATGGGACTTCAAGTACCTTCATTCACTTCCTGAAAACAATGCAACCATCATCCAATGACCAATAATGACCAAACTTGGCATACAGAACCGCCATTACCCACTTTCTCTAATAACCCGGGCAGCGTCGGGTCCCCAAGCTAGTACAATAATAAAAATGAAGAACAATTTTAACAAATATAAACTTATTCGTATTTCAGTGGGAAGTGTGGGCCTGCTTTTGGCTGATGAGATAGGATTGTTGTTGTTGTTGTTGTTGTTGTTGTTGTTGTTGTGTGCTTTCAAGTCGTTTCAGACTTAGGTTGACCCTGAGCAAGGGCCGGGTAAATGACCTTGGAGGGCCGCATTCAGCCCTCGGGCCATAGTTTGAGGACCCCTGCTCTAGATGTTCTAGGGGACATGTACTCTATCTAGTACAATAGAAGTCACAGACTTTACATTCCAAATTCTGAAACACTTCTTGTCCAAATCATGTTTCTAACACTTTACAATGCCAGTATTCCAACTTGAATGCAATTCTGAGAAAAACATCTGCACAATCTAGCATCTCTGTCCTCACCATGATAAAGAAGGTGCCGACACAAGGCGACAGATCACTTACCCAAGGTGAATTCCCATTGTTCATTCCCAAGAGACCGCTCGGGAACCACTTCCAGATCTAGCATTGGCCCAGGCAGAAGAACAGCCCAGTTATCGCACGGCAGGTTCACAATGTCACTGTCGTTTGACCTGGAGAGAAAGAAGACACACCCAAGATTAGGTGTCAGCCTTCTAGCCCAAAGCAGAATGTAAACAAGTCCCTCTTGCTCAAACCCTGAGGAGGAAACCAGTTGGCCCTCCACTACCGCAAGTTTAACCCATGAGGAGTCAATCACTTGCAAATCACTGGCATTTCCTGCCATCTTCGCTGATGCCCTCCTCCATTTTTAATAGGGGTTTCTATGCCTTGCTTCCCAGCCTCTCTGCAAGGTTCAAGAGATGGCGAATGAATGAATGAACAAAACGTTTATTTATAGCACACCCTATCTTCCCGAAGGGACTCGGGGCGGCTCACAACAAAATACACAGTTGCAAACATACAATGTCAACAGTAATATATAAACAAATCAAAACAACTCAATCTATATAAATAAAAATGTAATGTTCGTTTGTGGGATTAACAGAACTCAAAAACCACTGGACGAATTGACACCAAATTTGGACACAATACACCTAACAGTCCAACGAGTGTCCATCACCCGTAAACACGCACACACACACACACAAAACTCCAGCAGAGCAGACTTAAAAACCCAAAAATACAACATATATACATATACACTCATATACATATACCCATGCACACATTCATACACACACACACACACACACATGTGTATATATATGCACAAACACATATACACATACACAGAAACATACATATACATACACACAGATATACATATACACATGCACACATACATATACATATCCACATACATATCTATATACACACAAATATGCATATAGATAAGCACAAACATATACACAATATGCATGTACACATATAAACACACAAATACACACACTTATATATCTATCTATATCTCTATCTAGCTATCTATGCAAACACAAATATATACACATACATAAACACATATATACGCACACAAAACACATATACACAGACTGGGCAACAGCAACGCATGGCAGGGGACAGCTAGACTATAGAAATAAAAATGTAATGTTCGTTTATGGGATTAACATAACCCAAAAAACACTGGACGATTTGACACCAAATTTGGACACAATACACCTATCAGGCCAATGAGTGACCATCAGTCATAAAAATATTGAAAAACACAGCGAAAGAGACTTAAAAAGCCAAAAAATAAAAAATACATTACAATGCATTCACAAAACCATACACATACACACACATATATATATACACATATATACAAATATATACACACAAAACACATATACACAGACTGGGCCACAGCAATGTGTGGCAGGGGACAGCTAGTCTATATAAATAAAAATGTAATGTTTGTTTGTGGGATTAACATAACTCAAAAACCACTGGACGACCTGACACCAAATTTGGACACAATACACCGATCAGGCCAACGAGTGACAATTAGTCATAAAATATTGAAAAACACAGCAGAAGAGACTTTAAAAAGCCAAAAAAAAAAAAACATTAACATGCGCAAAACCACATATATACACATATACACAAATATATACACACATACATACATACACACACACACACACAAAACACATATACACAGACTGGGCCACAGCAACTCATGGCAGGGGACAGCTAGTGAAATTATAAAATAACTTAAGTAAACCAAGTGTAACACAATACACAAAATTACAAACATATTAAATCCTTAAAATCTCATAAAATATCTAAAATTAGGCAAAAATTGTTGGGAGGTAGATGGTAAACTGCGGATTAACAGGGTGGATATTAGCAGCTAGGTGAGAGTGGATATAGATGTACTTAATCCTACTCCTTAAAGACAAGGTGAAGCTTATGAGGCTCTATTAAAAATGGCCGGGAGCAGCACTGAAGGAAAGCCCCACCATCCAGCCACTTCTGGGTTGAAAGCACAGATTGTGCTATACATTTTGGGTGTTAAATATGGAATGAGCGCCGTTATTTGTAGTTTTTTCACTTTCGTGGGGGTCCAGCGTCCCAAGCACCCACATATCTGGAGGGCTGACTATATAGCTCCACAGGGTTCATGATTAATACTAATTCTACTTCAGTTATCCTCTCCTGCTGAAGTTCATGAAGAACTTGAAGAGGATGGCCCCAAACTTGTAAACATCCAAAGCCTCAAGCGTACGCACCCATTATATTATGCAAGTCCCTGCAAGATCAGGCTACTTTGGGCTTGTATCTTGCTTTTCAATCAGGCTACTTTGAGGTTACATCCATATTCAACAACAGTCATCCAGGAGAAAGGCTTTGTATGTAAGATGGCCTGTTTTGACCTCCGCCTTGTCCCTCTGCCAGGGACAAGAGTGAGTTCTATTGATTATCTCCCTGTCAAAGCTTGGGATAACCCTTCTGCTTCTCTCCAGGACTGCATAACAAATGGATTTATTTATTTTTTTTTGGGGGGGGGGGGGAGAGATGGAGGAAGGCTTCTGTTGTTGAAAACTAAGAAATTTTCCATTCCATTTCCATTCCATTGAACAGGTCCAAAGGGCAAAAAGACAACTCATCTTCAAACAATTGAGATTGGCCACTTAGAAACTCTACCCCACAGTGGAAATCTGTCCAGACTAGAAGAACCATGTCTTAGCAGGGTCCGCAGCCAAGAGAAATCAACAATGGAGACCAATGTCCCATTCCCACACATTATTTATTTATTTATTTACAACATTTATATGCCACCCTGCTCACCACGAAGGAGACTCAGAGTGGCTTACAAGATATATATATAAACACACACAATCTACATATATAAAAATGCTCTGTGCCTAATGAGTACCTTAAAAACAAAAGAACCAATGAACGAAACCACACCAAATTTGGCAACAAAACGTCTCACAACACAAGGAGTGACCATCACTCAAAAAATTATGATTTTGTCATTTGGGAGTTGTAGTTGCTGGGATTTATAGTTCACCTACAATCAAAGAGCATTCCGAACTCCATCAACGATGGAATTGAACCAAACTTGGCACACAGAACTCCCATGACCAACAGAAAATACTGGAAGGGTTTGGTGGGCATTGACCTTGAGTTTGGGAGTTGTAGTTCACCTGTGGACTCAAACAATGATGGATCTGGAGCAAACTTAGCACAAGCATTCAATACGCCCAAATATGAACACAGATGGAGTTTGGGGGAAATAGACCTTGACATTTGGGAGTTGTAGTCACTGGGATTCACAGTTCATCTACAATCAAAGAGCGTTCTGAACCCCATGAATGACAGAATCGGGGCAAACTTCCCACACAGAACCCCCATGACCAACAGAAAATACTTAAGGCCACGCAATCTAACTCCCTCCATCAGGGCAAGAAAACGTAATCAAAGCCCTCCCGACAAAGAGCCATCCAGCCATAAATATAGATACATGGATATGATTCATACACACACAGATATAGTATCCTAGATTTGAAAGGGACCCCTAAAGAAGGACAATGATATTTTCCAGAGTAGGCAAACCAGACAATCTCCACATCAACACTGATAAAGAAACAGCAAGCAATACTGTTTACCCACAAACATAAAGAAATTACATATATTAGAAGCCAACACTTCCTCATTATTTTATTTTCCAGATCAACAGACTGAGCCACAGCAACGTGTGGCAGGGGCCAGCTAGTACATTATATTATTAGCACAGTACAATATCAGTATTATATATTACTATATTGTACTACACCATTATATTGCAATACTAGCTGCCCCCTGCCACGTGTTGCTATAGCCCAGTCTGTCTATATGTGTTTTTCTGTGTGTATATTTGTGCATAGGTTATTAGTAATATCACATGTAATATAAAATATATAATTATAATATCATTAGTAGCATTATATTGTATTACATTATCAATACATTAGTAGTATTACATTGTATTACATTATCCATATAAATAAACATGTAATGTTCGTCTGTGGGATTAGCATAATTCAAAAACCACTGGATGAATTGACACCAAATTTGGACACAATACACATATCAAGCCAACAAGTGATCATCACTCATAAAAACACTGGAAAACACAGCAGAAGAGATATAAAAGCAAAAAAACCCAAAAATTACATTACAATGCACGCATGCATGCACACACACATATATACCATCCCCTGCCACACGTTGCTGCGGCCCAGTCTGTGTATATGTGTGTGTATATATATATGTGTGTGTATGTGTATATATATGTGTGTGTGTGGTTTTGGGCATGTGTTGTACATTTTTTTGGCTTTTTAAGTCTCTTCTACTGTGTTTTTCAGTGTTTTTATGAGTGATGGTCTCTCATTGGCCTGATAGGTGTATTGTGTCCAAATTTAGTGTCAATTCACCCAGTGGTTTTTGAGTTATGTTAATCCCACAAACAAACATTACATTTTTATATATATAATATACACACACACACACACTCATGTATGTATGTATGTGTATGCATATTTATTTATTTATTTTACATTATTTCTATCCCGCCCATTTCAGCCCGAAGGCGACTCAGGGCGGTATACACAGTCGGCACAATTCGATGCCGAAACAAAATACATACATTGATAAAGCAAAAACATTCAGTGCAATTAAACATAAACGACAGTGCATAATAACAATTTAAAAAGAAACTATGTCCTCTGTTCAAATCTTGATATACACACACATATACACACAGAAAACACATATACACAGACTGGGACACAGCAACGCGTGGCAGGGGATGGTTAGTAATGTTATAAATATTATATGCATATACAATATATTATATTACATTATATTATTAGCATAGCACAGGAGACAAGGTGGAACTTTGTTTATAGTGCTTTCCACTTTTCTAGAGGGTTAGGGGCACAGGACCTTTGCTAAAGTGGGGAAACTGGGAATTAAAAAGAAAACCTATTTGTTTTATCTGAGACAATACCTCTCTAATAAACTCGAGGTCCTTTAGGATGGTTCTATGGCAACCTGTGGTCCGTGGACCACCAGTGCTCCACAAGAACCAATAATAAGGTCCGCGGCCTCACCATTACTAGAC